GTGCCATACAAATATCATTTAGATTTAGGATTTTATATCATCTTTTTTCCTCAAGAAACTGATTCTTGCTTTGGACATCCCAGAGAGGTGAAAAAAGAACTCCACTGAGCTAAAACATATCTGATCCAGAGGATGCTTACAATACAGGTGTAACCACATATATAAATAATATGCACATTTTCTTAATATGTTCATAAACATTATCAGCTTAAAGTCAAACTGAATAAAATAATAAAAATCCTTTAAAATATATATTTGAATATATTGATAATGCTGTAAACAAACACACAAACGGTTCACTATAACTTATTATAGTGATTATACTGTGGTTGCTTGGGGATGCAGGAGGGCTGGGCAGGGTGAAGAAAAGCATAGCCCCAGGATGGCTGAGGTTGGTTGGTTGGTTGGCTGGTTTGTTTGTTTGTTCCCCCAGCCCCAGGGCTGTGCTCCAAATGTGTACAGATGTTCAATTAGATCAATCAAAATGTGCCCTGTCTAATTTGGTGCACCTCTTGGGGAACTAAAGTTATATTGGGCCAGCCACTTTTCACTGATCTAAACTTCAGGGAAGGTCCATACAGTCTGGCATTTAAATCTACCCTACTAGGGAATCTATGCATAAAGTCCGCATGTGGGCAAACAAAGAGATTGGGCAGCCATTTTTAACCTAATCAAACTTCTTTTAATGTCTTTACACACCCCAAGAGGCATAGGCAAATCCAAGATTTTAAAAAATGGGATTTGGGAGCAGCAATTTGGGGCTACAGGAGTGGCAACACTCTCTCATTTCTAGCTTCCAAGGCTAGCAAACTACGCCGCTGGGGACTTTTTAAAGTCCTCACATTTGATAAGAATCCTTCCCCCCACACCCTCCACTTGGTGGCACTCTGTCCCTTTCTCTTCTGTTCTGCAACATCTCCCCTCCCCTCCTATTCCTACTGCATTGTCCTCTCTACTTAATGGAGACCTGCCTGCTGTTGAAGGAGCAGCTGGGACAGCCCCACTCCAGCTAGGGCTGTGGGGAGAGGGTGTACACAGAACTAGACTCAGCCAGGGATGGCAGCAGCAGTAGGCAGTTTCCTCATCCCTGCACCTGCTCCTGGACTGGCAGGGCCCATCTGGGGAGGATGGGGGGGAAGACCATGCAGAGTTGGAGAACCTGCCTACTGCTGCTGTATCCCTTGATTTGGAGAACTTATGTCTAATTAAAGGGACATATAACTAGGAGCAAAATCCTTGTTTTCAACAGGTTTGGAGAACTCGCATAGTTTAAGCCTTTCCTAAGACTTGAATAATATTGCACATTAAAACTGAGCTGTTTCTATTTATAAAGAGTCAGAGATGGTGCATTTCTGTGGATCACTGATGATTGTTTGATTATCTTCCCCTATAGCACGGCTTATAGCATTCTAGGAGTTCTGGAGAAGTGCTTCTGGAAATTTTTAGTAAATGTATCAGTCTTGTTTTCTTAAGTACTTAAGAGCCTAAAACTCTATGAAAGTCAAAGGGGTTTAGGCTCCTAACTCATGTAGATACTTTAAAAACATTTAAAAATGTTTTTCTTATTGCTGGTTCCTTATTCCTTTTTTACACCAGACCCATCCATCACAAATGATATATAGATCAATGGTTAATTTTGAATCTAGGGCGGTGGCAGAAGGTAGTTGCAAAACTGTTCAACCAACTTCGTGGAATTATTCTCGTCTAGCTCCTAGTACATGTTTATTATAGAAATTGTGATCTGAATTAGTACTTATCAGCAGTTTTGGCCAAGGAGCTAAGAATCCATATGCATGTAGACTGAGCTACCCCAGAAAGTGATCTGCCCAGGTGTTTGTATGTACTGCTGTCTGACTTGTACAAAGTAGTTTCTAATGCTGTCAATTGGAAGGAATAAAAACATGGGAAAGGTAACTACATCTGACCAGTCACTTTCTCATTTAGGAATGGATTCATGTTAAATGTAAGACACTGTTAACTACAGAATTGGGCCTGACAGGTAAACAATAGATTTCTGCTGCTTGTTGTTTAGAGAGGAAAAGAAGTCTGTGCTGTGTGTGATTTGCTGGATGATGATCTAGAAGAATAAAAAGGAAATGTTTTTCTGCTTAGTATTTTTATTTTAATTTAATTTCATTTTTTTTACCAATGAATAGTGACCTGTAACATCTTAGAACTTCACCTTTTGACTGTAGGTATTGTGTAGCAGTGCTTTTTTTCATAGCAATCTCTTTTAAATTCCATTAAAATGCTAGAATTGGGAGAAAGTGGTCAGGTGAATGGAGTTGCACTGTATTTGGATTTCCAAACACCACTAGACAGATTTCCAAACGTGCTTAATGCTTTGTGTTGCACAGAGCCTGATGATGGTGGATCCACCACTAAAACTGCTTTTAAATACCTACATTGGGGGAAGAGTTTCTTGCAATAGAGGACCCCTTAATACAATAAAGATATAACCAAGATGCAATGGCTGAAAGTTGAAGACTGATACATTTAATGTTAGAAATAAAGAACAGCTTTTTAACAGTGTGGGTAACTAACTACTGGATTAGCTTAACTCAGGATGTGGAATATTCTTCATCACGTGAAGTCAATTAACACTCAAAGATGTGTTCTAGCACAAGCAGAAAGTAGCCTTGATGCAGCACTTGCTGGGGTAATTCTGTGGCAGATCAAATAATCCTAATTGTCCATTCTGGCTTGAATCTATGAATCCTTGAATTTTAGGTCATGCTTTATTAATCAGTGGTCAGGATTGCTGCTTGCTACCTTACCAGGTATAGAGGAACTGCCCGGTGGCAGATATATTGCATTTAATGTCACTATTTTTTTAGAGAGGATTCCTCTGGAGTGAATTATGAACTGTTTGAAAAAATAAGGGGGAGAAAAAAAGGCTTTTTAATTTCCATCTCTCAATTTATTATAGATTCAGATGTATCAGCTGTCAAGACTTCTCCATGATTATCACAGAGACCTGTACAATCATCTTGAAGAGAATGAAATCAGCCCCAGTCTGTATGCTGCACCCTGGTTTCTTACCTTGTTTGCTTCTCAGTTTCCATTAGGATTCGTAGCCAGAGTATTTGGTAAGAGAGATTGCTTTATTGCAGTACTGAGCCTTGTACTTCTAGGCAGAGTTGTCCAGCCGATGGCCTGTAAAGAGTGAATCTGTGGCCCTAGGTTTTCCTTGGCTGCTGCTCCCCTCACTGCTCAGGCTGCTGTTACAGCTAGGATCTCCAGGCTTCCGCTTCCTTTTCTGGCTCTCTCTTTGTGCCCCTTTCCCAGGTAGGACAGGGCAGCACTACTCAGCACAGCTTACAGTGCAGGAGGAGCCCACAGTGCAATGCAAGTGGGGAAATCTGCATCCAAGGAGATGGGGTGGGGGGTGGGAAGAGAGCATGCCTTGTTCTGAAGTGAACAAGAATAACTTGAGACAATTGATTTTTGGAAATGAGAAGGATACAATTAAAGTGGCTGAGGGGCAGGGGGAGAGCAGTGCCTGCCCATACAGTGCTGAAGGAGCTTGCAGCCAGGCAGGTTGGGGGGCAGGGGGGGAGTGACATCTGCTTCTGCATTCTCTGCCATGTGAAGCACCATTACTAAGAAGTTGGACAGCCCAGTTTTAAGGAATTTTTTTTTTATCTTTAGCTATATCCATTAAAGGGTAAATTTTGCACCAGTTTATTTTAGTTGTCAGCTCCAATTGATTTGATTTATTTTGGTGTGGAAGTTGAGCATCAAACTGAGTTAAGTGGCAGAGTTGTTCCATTAGCTGTTAAGTTAACAATATACAGATCTAATTGCATAAACTTTTAGGGGTGACTTGCACTACAGTTTTTAAAAGCATCTCCTTACTTCTGAATATCAAACAGCAGATAGTTAACCCAGTAGCAACGATAATTTCATCCTATACATCTAGTTAGAGATCAAGCCCCCACTGTTTGTGTATCTGAAGAGGTCTATCCTTTTTTAATGAAACTTTCAAATAGCTTGTTTATTAATATGGAAAAAATAGGATTAAGCATTCAGGTTTTTTTTTTTCCTGAGTGTTTGATTAAACTAAACCTTTTAAATGCAGGATTTGTATAATATGCTTAGGGCCCTTCTACACTGCAGGTAAAGGCACAATTGGAAATAATGCATGATCCACCCAGTTGTGCCTCCTGCCATGCCACACATGCATGAGTACTCTTAGCTTTCTTCAGATAGTCCTATAGGGCCTTTTCCACTCCTTGGACAAGTAATGCCAAGGAGTAAGTATATACAGGCAATGATTTTTGTATGTTATCAGAAAGACTAACTTCAAATTTCTTTCACCAAATAACTTAATTTTTCATGCAGCATTTTGGTTTGTGTAAAATAGCTATCAAGAAACTTCTTTCACAATCTGATGCATCTTAAATGGGAATTTCTCTCAATTTTTGCCTTGTAGCTTTTATGAAGCATTTTTTCCATTTTTCCTATATTTTACAGTTCCTCCATTATTCAAGGTCGCAGCTGTGTTTTTTATCATTCTGTTTCATAATTTTTGTGGATTCCCACCTAAGTCAAATTTGTATTCCTTCATTCTTTTTTGCTTTTGTACCAAAAATAGCCTTCACTTGCATGTTTTCTCCCCCCACCCCCCATTTGGGGGCAAATTAATAAGGGGCTTCATTTTTAAAATGGAAATGATAGTTTTAAAGCTTATATTCATCTTGGCTTTGAGGGTAGCAATGGTAGTTGCTGAGTTTTTTCGAGGGGGTGGTGGTTACATTTTTGCTGCTAGAAAAAAGTGTTTGAGAATTCCAGTTTTATTTTGCTTTTTGTTTTAAGGTATTTTTATCTTATTGCTTTGGTAGATGTGAAATTGGGAAACTGTCCTTTCTGAGGGAGAATTGTGGCTTATCATTCTTGTTAAATAAACACAGCTGGGTACATAATCTAGATTTACAACAGAAATATTTCCAGAAGCTGTTTTAGCTCCTGATACTGTAATCTGATCTGTTCAGACAAACTTCTGCACCCACTCAGAGCCAGCTGATTCCTCTGGGACCACCTGGATTCACTCAAGTTGATGATAAAAGCTTTGTTTGTTTTTGTTTGTTTGGGGTTTTTTAAGTCGGGGTTTTTCCATATGGGTGTATGGATCAACCTGTGCTCATCAAAATAAGAGAATTGAAGGCAGAGTCTAGGATATTTAACATTCTAATAAGATTACTTTCCAGTAACGAAGTAGGATTTTAGCTATCTGTGAACAATAGGGTAAAATCAGTGCAACAGAATAAGAGCTTTACTTCATTTTAGGATCAGCTCCTAATAAAGTGTGAATGGCATGTGTTGGTCTTGTGTTTTGGTTTAACATGTCTTTTAATGCAGACTGTACTCAAATGCCTTTTCACAATGTCTTTTAAACTGCGACACCCAAAACTAAGTGTTTGTCTGATAAACATGACATCCTTTCAGCTAAAGCATTGCAACATTGAAAATAAACGTTTTTGTTTAACACTTGTTACTTATTGAAAAAATGATAAATTTTCATCATAATGAAGAAAACATAGTTAAAATAACAAGATGAAGCAGGTATTCATCATTTTCCTTCTTAAAGTTATCAAATTTCAGTAAATTTTATAAGGGAGGTATATTCTACTACAAACATTTAAAGAAAAAAACTGCTTGACTTCAGCTTTTTGCCTTGAGATGCTTACAAAAATTATTATTTTTTTAGACATTATTTTTCTTCAAGGAACAGAAGTCATATTTAAAGTAGCACTGAGTCTACTAAGCAGCCAGGAAGCACTTATAATGGGATGTGAGACCTTTGAGAATATTGTTGATTTCCTTAAAATCACTATCCCAGACATGACTCAGTCTCAAATGGAAAAGATTATTACCCAGGTAAAATAGCTTTTCTATTCTTTGTTTTACTCTTCTTTTTTTCCATGTGACTTTTATTTAGATATTAACCCACAGGTAAATGCAAGGTTCTTTTTAAAGACATCTTTCTTAGTTATTGTGACACTAAATACAAGCAGTCATCTTCTGAGGTGTACCTGCAACTTATAGCTTAGGACAATTTTTGGAGTTTTGGAAACCTCTGGTACTTTGAGACTACTTCCAGTAAAGGACTTAAGTACAGTAGCACCTCCATGTTTTAGGCCTTCTGGAGTGGAATCCAGAATCCTTGGTTATGTACTGTGTAAGGAGCATACATACGCAAACTAAATGCCTGGGAATCGTAGAAAATTAGGGTTGGAAGGGACCTCGGGAGGTCATCTAATCCAACCTCCTGCTTAAAGCAGGACCATCCCCAACTAGATCATCCCAGCCAGGGTTTTGTTGAGCTGAGCCTTAAAAACCTCCAAGGATGGAGATGGGGGTGCCCTGATAAAGATTTTTGGCCGGTACCAGTGGCTGATTACTAACCAGCCATACTGGCCGATACCAATCCGATAGTTGATATGCAGCCCAGCAGTTTGGACAGCAGTGTCTCTAGCAGGTAAGTCTGTAGGGGGGGAAGGGACATGGGGGGCAAATGGAGGCCCCCACAGTGAGAGAAGGGAGTGGAGCAGGGCAGGTGCTCCTCAGCCAGGGCAGGGCATGGGACAGCTGCAAGCAGCTCATCCAAGAGACATGGGAGAGTGGGGAGGGGGAGCAGCTCCCACCACTACGCACACCCCCGGGGGAGGCATGGGACGCAGGTGCCCCCCAGATGTGTGTGGGGTAAGGGCAGGCTGATTGCTATGGGTTTAGGGCCAGGGGCTGCATCAGCCTCTTACCAGTGGTCCTCAGGGAAGGCAGCAGCAGGGCAGGTGGTGGAGGTGCTGAGGGGGGCTATTTGTGGTGGCTGCAGCCCACCCTGTAGCCCCTCTCCCAGCACTGCTGCCACCTGACCAAGCCCTCTACTGGGAAGAGACCAATGCAGCCCCTGGCTTCGTGCCTGCAGCAGGCAGCTTACCCTCTCGCCACACAAATCCAGGCCCCCCTGTGCCTTCCCCCAGGGGTGTATGCAGCAGTGGGAGCCTTCCTCCTGGGCTTTCTGTATGAGCCTCCTGTCCTGTGCCCTAGCTGGGCAGCACCTGCCCCAGCCCAATTCTTTCCCTCACTGAGGGCCTCTGTCTGCCCCCCTGCCACACCTCTTCCCCTTCCCAGACTTACTGGCCAGTCACTGATCTCTAAGCTGCTGGACTGCATTCCTGACTCTGTGCATGCTGCGGTTGAGCACATGCATGCAGCGTTTATTGGTGACATTATGGGCTACACTGGCCAAAAAAGCCAATTATTGATTTAATGTCAATTTTCCTGTGTTATTAATGCTGCTCTAATATGGACCAATGTATCAGTGCCCCTCTAGATGGGGATTCTACAGCCTCTCTAGGTAACCCATTCCAGTGCTTCATTGCTCTTCTAGTGAGTTGTTTTTCATAATACGCAACCTAAACTTCCCTTGCAGCAACTTGAGACCATTGCTCCTTGTTCTGTCATTTGTCACCACTAAGAACAGTCTAGCTCCATTGTCTTTGGACCCACACTTCAGGTAGCTGAAAACTGCTATCAAATCTGCCCTCAGTCTTGTCTTCTCCAAACTAAATAAACCCAGTTCCCTCAGCCTCTCCTCAGAAGTTGTGCCCCAGCCCCCTCACTATTTTCATTGCCTTCCACTGGACTCTCTCCAACTTGTCCACATCCTTTCTGTGGTTGGGGGCCCAAATTGGACACAGTATGCCAGGTGTGTCTTTTACCAATGCAGAAGAGAGGGAAATAATTACTACTTTTTTCTGCTAGTAATGCTCCTACTAATGCTATAAGTGTTCTTGGCAACAAGAGCACACTGCTGACTCATCCAGCTTATTGTCCACTGTAACCTCCAGGTCTCTTTCTGCAGAGCTGCTGCTTAGCCAGTTGGTCCCAAGCTTGTACCAGTGCATGGGAGTGTTGTGTCCTAACTGCAGGACTTTGCACTTTGTCCTTGGTGAACCTTATGAGATTCCTTTTGGCCCAGTCCTCCAATTTTGTCTAGGTCACTCTGAATCCTATCTACTGCTCCCCTGGCTTGGTGTCCTTTGAACTTGCTGGGGGTGCGCTCCTTTCCATCTTCCGGGTCACTGAAGATACTGAATGAAACTGGCCCCAGGACTGACCCCCGAGGCACTACAATTGATTATGGTTGCCAACTAGTCATCAAGCCATTGATAACTACCCATTGAGCCCAATGATCCAGCCAGCTTTCTGTCAACCTTACTGTCCATTCATCCAACCCATACTTTCTTAGCTTGCTTGTAAGAACGCTGTGGAAAACTGTATCAAAAGCCTTGCTGAAGTTGAGGTGTATCATGTTTTCTGTTCTACCCACATCCAGAATGCTTATTTCATCATAGAAGGCAACTGGGTTGGTCAGGCATGACTTACACTTGGTGAATGCATGCTGACTGTTCCTAATCACTTTCTCCTCCAAGTCCTTAAAAGTGGTTTCTTTGAGGACCTGCTCCTTTATTTTTATGGGGACTGAAGTGAGGCTGACCAGTCTGTAGTTATCTGGATCTTTCTTTTTCCTTCGTTAAAGATGGGCACTATATTTGCCCTTTTCCAATCACTCTGGACCTCCCCCAATTGCCATGAGTTTTTAGAGATGACAGCCAGTGACTCTGCAATTGCATCAGCCAGCTCCCTCGGATGCGCTGCATCTAGCCCCATGGTCTACTATGCATCCAGCTTTTCTAAAGGAGTACTTAGCCTGTTCTTTCACTACTGAGGGCTGCTCACCTTCTCTCCAAACTGTGTGGCCCAGCATAGTAGTCTGGGAGGTGGCCTTGGCTGTAAAGACCAAGGTAAAAAAAAAAAAAAAAAAAGTATGAAGTACTCCAGCCTTTTCCTTGTCATCTGTCACTAGGTTTCCTCCCCCATTCAGGAAGGGACCTGCACTTTCCCAGACCTCCCTCTTGTTGCTAACATACTTGTAGAAACCCTTCTTGTTACCCTCCCGGTCCCTTGCTAGCTGCAAACTCTCATTGTGCTTTGGCCTTCCTGCATGCCCTATTTTTATCCCTGCATGCCCAAGCAATATTCTTATACTCTTCCCTAATCATCTGTCTAAGCTTCCACTTCCTGTAAGCTTGCTTTTGTCTTTAAGCTCACTGAAGAGTTCTCTGCTAAGCCAAGCTAGTCACTTGCCACACTTGCTATTCTTCCAGCACATTGGGATGGCTTGTTCCTGAACCTTCAGTAAGGTTTCTTTTCAAATTCAGTCAGATCTTCTGGACTCCTTTTCTCATCAGGCTGGCCCCCCAGGGGATCCTGCCCATCAGTTTCCTGAGACAGTCAAATTCTGCATTTATGAAGTTCAGGGTCCTTACTCTGCTGCTCTCTTTCCTTCCTTCCTTTCCTCAGGATCATGAACTCAATCATCTAGTGGTCGCTGCTGCCCAAATTGCCATTAGCTTCTACCTCCCCCACCAATTCTTCCCTGTTTGAGCAGTAGCTCAAGAGCACAGCCCCTAGTTGGTCTCTCAAAACTTCCTGGTACAAGTGTATCTCCAGTGCTCTCCAAAACCTTCCTGGATTGCCTATGCACAGCTGTATTGCTCTCCCAGGGTGGTGATTTTTTTTGGTTGGTTGGGGGTTTTTTTGGGGTTTTTTTTTTTTTTAAAGTCCCCCATGAGAACCAGGGCCTGTGATCTGGAAACTTCTGCTAGTTGTTTGAAGAAAACCTCATCCTCCTGGTCTGGTGGTCTATAGCAGACACCCACCACAACATCACCCTTGTTGCTCCTCCCTCTAATTTTTAACCTAGAGACTTTCAACAGGCCTGTCTCATTTCATACTAGAGCGCTGAGCAATCATATGGCTTCTACATAGTGCAACTCCTCCTCTTCTCCCCTGTCTGTCCTTCCTGAACAGTTTGTACCCATCCATGACTGTGCTCCAGTCATGCAAGCTAACCCACCAAGTCTGTTGTTCCAATCACATCCTAGTTCCTTGACTGTGCGAAGACTTCCAGTTCTTCCTGCTTGTTTCCCAGGCTCTCTGCATTTGTGTACAGACACTAGCCAGTTGCCCTGCTTTCTCAGTAAGAATTAGGTGGCCTCCTTTGTTGCCCCCTCCTGTTTTTGTGCTCCCTCCAGGTCTCCCACTTACCCCAGTGGTGCTTTAAATAAATTGCATGCCAAGGAGGAAGCCACCTAGGACTAGCCAATGAGAAGCATGGGGTAGGTTTGAAATCCTGTACCTTTCTGGAGCGTAGGTGCCTGAGTCTGCTGCAGGTAGACCCCTCAGTTTTCTCAGGGTTTAGGGTCCAGAATCCTTTCCTCAAAATAGGGACCTACATCTGTTCTTTCAGAGAGCTGAGCAGGACCCAACTCCTCCTTTTGAAACTGGTAGTGGTAGTAGTAATGGTGTTTCTGCTCATCTCTTTATGTAACATCCAGTGGTTAGTGAGCTTGTCCAGGGCACTGGTGGGTTCATTGCCTCAGCCTGAAACGTTTTGAATTCACAACTTCAGTCTCTCAGCAGAGTATGAGCTAAGCTGGGATAGGGTCCCTTCAAACTGAGGCAGGCATTGAACTGAATCTCCCATTTCCTGGGTAAGAGTACTAGCCACAACACCAGTGGTGTTCAACTTGCATACTGTGGGCTGGATCCAGTCTGCAGACCTTCCCACAGCTCTAGAAATTTGGTGACCAAGGGAATGGTGGCAGGTTTTATTGCTGTAGCTGTGGGAGTTTGCACGGTGGCCTGAGCTGGGAGCTAGGTAGTTTGAGCACCACTGCATTAAACCATTATATAAAGGAAAAAGGTGTCAATGCTGCATATTATGAGAAGCCTGTTTCTGTTCTTCTCAGAGAAGGCATATCAGATCAGGCTCTTCAAAAGACTTGGAAGCAGAGATATATCTAGTCCCTGAATTCAGATTAAGTTTAACAATGTGTGTCTCACTGCTTGTACTGGGGCAGTTCCAGTCATGCACAGAAGAACTCTTAAGGCCCAAATCCTAAGTGCTACTTAGGTAGCAATGTGAGAGGCATTTTTGCGACCTCATCAGTATCTTTCCTGCAGGTGACAAATTTTAACATAAGCCTTGTAGAGTCAACCTTTTAACCAAACTTTACATGAAATGTAATGCTATCTGTTGTAGCAAAACTAACTTGTCTTTCATGATTAGGTTTTTGAGATGGATATTTCCAAGCAGCTTCATGCTTATGAAGTAGAGTACCATGTACTACAGGATGAGCTACAAGAAGGTGCAAATCCTTGTGATGATGGTGAACCTCTAGAAAAACTGGAGAGGGCAAACAGTCAGCTAAAGAGACAGAACATGGACTTATTGGAGAAGTTACAGGTAAAGGGCCATAGATTATTGGGTGAAGTAAAGAAACTTACCCTCCCTCCCTCCCCCCCAACAATTCAAACACCATGTTTTTGTTTCTGTTCACATAACTGATTTGTTTTTAAAATATTTATTAATGTATTTGTTTAGTGCTATAGTCTAAACTCTAAATGCAGTCACATGCCTTGTATTTATTTAAGCCTTTTTTTCTTTAGCCCATTTTGTAATCTCTTGTATCATATTTTATGATGTCTTCTTTTGCCTGAAGCTTCTTTTCCCTAAATATCTATGGAGCATATCCATCCCCACCTCCCTTTATCTCTTGGCTAGATCATACACCTTGAACTCTTTCATCTCTGTCCAGCCTTTATTTTGTTTCTCAGAATTCCCTTCAGCTGTAAAGATCTTTTTGGCAGTCAAAAAGGTCACCTGTATTCCAACTGTAAATGCAGAGGTATACAGATAGGATGCTTTTCTTCCATACTCTGCTTACAGATTATGGTCATCTTGGGTCTTACATGACAAACAGAACACAGCAAAACTTAAATGGCCATCAGATGTGTACTATCAACTCAACCTACAATAACTTAATTCTCTGTGAAAGTGGAATACTGCTAGTTAGTTTCTGCTTTAATGCAGGCATGCATACCGACAGTGAAATGTAAGCAATGAAGTTCTACTTCCATGGATGTCTGTCCTTATTCTGACCATCTTGGATGATAATGTCAAGGGATCTTTATTTTTATTTCTTACAGGTAGCTCATGCTAAAATTCAGAGTCTGGAATCCAACCTAGAAAATATCTTGACTCGAGAGAACAAAATGAAGAGCTTAATCCAGTCCTTGGAACAGGAGAAGATTGCTTATCAAAATACTCTTGAGCAAATAACTAAATATCTGCCAGCAGAAGCACTGTCTGACTGTGAACTGCTTCTCAAGGAAGTAAGCTGTAACCCAGACAATTGAACAAAGCAAGGAAATAAGCCATAAATAAGTTGTGGGCAGCATAATTTCACATACTTAAGGGAAAGAAAACCAGCGTGCTGCTTTAGGAGGACTCGGAAAGCAATAGGTAATGGTGTCACCCAAAACTGATATTGGGACACTGAATAGCAGCAAGTGGGCCTTTTAGATCTCAGTATGCAAATCCAGGCTATTAAAAATAGTTGTTTGGTTTTTTTAAATGCTTGTGTAAATAAATCACAATGGGAGAATATATTTCTCAAACTTAATTATGACAAGTAGATGTATATTTAGAGTTGATTTAAAGGTCAGAACATCACTAAAAGCAAAGGGGGTGGTAAATTAAAACTAGATGCACACGCTCTCCATTTTTTCTTTTTTGGTCTGGTAGTGAAATGAGGGTATTGTCACACTATATAAAATATTAGAGAGAGAGAGAGAATAATACTTGAAAAAATGAATGTATTTTCCTCCAAAGAACAGCATGTTTCACATGTTTTGTGGAAAATCTATGTAAAATTCATGTGTGCCTGTCATTCATTTTACTGACTGTGTGTGGGTGTGTGAGAGAACAAAGGATGACTGTCGCTATGAGGTTCTTAGAGGGAGAATTATGCCATACACTGCCTGGAATGTGCCAATCAGCAAGTTGCTTCCACATGCATGTTGCAACAAAGATAAGCATCATGTCACAGCTAAGTGTAAGTAATTCCAAATCGGTCACAAGATCCCAAAGTAGCTTACCTTGCTTCTTCCCTCTTTCGCACTAAGTTTGGTAGTAGTTGAAGGAAGAAAATGAAGATCCAGAGTAGTCTCCATTTGGACTTCTTTGTTTCCTGCAAGTGACTTGCGGTGGTCGCATGTTTAAAACTTATATGGGGATTTCAAGTCACCAGAGGAACCTTTTAAGAAATCTTTTAAAAAAACCTGTGTTTTGGAAGGTCTGTGAACTCTTTGATAATTTTGGGGAATAAGCGCTAACCATTTTCAGGGACTTCACTCTGTAAAAGGATAGGGAGAGGAATTGTCACTTTAAAATCCACCCCCCCCTCCCAAATACTTTGAACAAAAAGGTACATAATATTTGTCTGAAATACAGGTTTGAAAGGTGATACTGAAGTATAAATACAACTTAATTGTTTTTCAGGCTATTTTTGCATTATCGCCACTTGGCAATCATTTTTAATGCATCATAAGCAGATCTGTCCTAGACAGAAGAAGCTATGTCCCAGTCAATTCTTTCAGGCAAAGTTTAGTTGCATCTGTCAATGGGCAGTAAATTAGATGCCTACAGATTTGATAAAGTTATTTTTGATCAGTGTAATCTTCAAGAAGACTTGTTTGGATGTAGTAGACATGTATTTTGTATATGCACATCTCACTTGTTACTTGAGTGTTACAGTGGATTGTATTATCTTACCAGGTATGTGATTTCCACCCCCGCCCAAGAAATTCTGGTCCATCTTTTTTTATATATATAAAAGGAAATTGAGCAAATTCAGCCCAAGTGTCTTTATGTATTTAAAGAAAAAAAAATTGTCCGATTGGAAAGTAAGTGCTGGGTGTAACTGCTTTCTATATAATGTGCTTTATGTTAATATTTACAAAAAAAAGAGGAACAACTAAGCTGGTTTTGCTGCATATTGCTGCAGTATGTAGGTTTTTTCCTTTCATGGTGGGTTTCTCATAAATATGGCTATTGAATGAGTTCTGTCTTTTGTATTACAGTTGGAGTGAAAGATCTTACACTGTATCAAATTTATGTGGAAACTGTCTTGGTATTTCAATAATGTTGCATTTGTACCAAATGGGAAAGATCCAAGTAGAAAAAGCAGTTGTTTGCAGTTTTGTTAGAAGTAAGTTTTGGCCAATGTGTATGTACTGAACCAATCACAGGGAACTGTAGTAGTGTATTACAAAGATCAAGGTTATTCAGATACATATATAACACTTTTAGGTGCACTGAAATGTGCTTTATCCTCTGTTTCACTTGTATAAAGTTTCTGTTGTAATGCCTGGAGAATTTCCAATAAATGTCATTGCTGCATTTCTCATGGCTTCTGATCAGCTGCTTTTGTCCTTCTTTCTAGCATGTCCTTCATTCTAAACAATTCTGCTTCTATAGATAAAATAAAGGACTTGCCTACTTTGTAGGTATGGGGAAAATAGGATTTATAAAGGACATTGGGAACCTCCCAGTAAATTGGTGTTGTTTTTTATAGCCAAAGTAGGCAAAATACAGGAGAGAATAAGAACAAATTTTTAATGCTTGCTGCTTCACGAACAATCGCAGGGGAGGAAAGTCTACTGATTTTTAGACTTGTGCTTCAGTGTGTTGTTGCAAATGGAATTTTGCAACCGTGGTCCAATGCAGGAGAACCAAAAACTAAAACCAGTTATTTCACTTTTAATAAGATCAGCAACATGCAAATTGTAAATGGGATAAAGTACAGTAGGCTTCCTAAAACTAGGCTTTCTACATAAAGGTGGTCAACCTTTTTGATACCCATGCAACTAGTGGCATGGCAGCCCCTGTGTGTGGTATGCAGCAGATGTGGGAGAAGGGTAGGCAGTATAGTTGCATAAAAGACAGGGAGCAGAAAACAGAAAAGCAAATTGATTAGGGAGCACAAAGCAGAAAACAAGCAGCAGGTTCAGGGTGGGGAGCAGAAATCAGAGCAGCTGATCAGGTAGGGCAGGGAGACTGGAGTGGCTCTTCAAGGGCGTGGGGCTAATTTGTGGCACACCTGCCAAAAAAAGCTGGCCCCCACTGAGCTACAGTAATAGTGGCATTTAGCTCTATCATTTTAAATTTCCTCCGTTACATTTGTGTAAAACAATGAAGGGCTGATTGCATGCAGCAGAGCAGAATTTTTCCCTGAATTCTTTAACAGCGTGTCCCTATGCACCAATAGCACTACATTCTGCACCATGTAGGAAGATCTAACTTAGGCCCTTGTGCACATTCTTTTAATAGTGTGATGGGATTTCATCCTCAATCCCAATATTTGCTCCTCCTATCAAACCAAGTATGTATGCCAGGAGGCTTGATTTTTGTTTTTGGGTTTCTTTTTTTTTCTTTTCCATTTGGGATCAGGAATTGGAGCCAATTGTGCTCTTACTATTTGCCAGTGCACAGGGAGCCAGGACTGGGCAAGAACCAACTATCAGTTGATTGTCAATTCTGATGCTAGTAAAGTCTAGGGGCTGACAGTCAGCTGATTTGTTGGCCCCTGTCCTAGACAGCCCCAGGTTCAGGTCATGTCCTGGGGCTAACCATGCTGAAGCCAACCATCAGCTAACTGTCAAAACTTCATGCCCAGCAGCTCTGGCCAGGCTGCTGGACATGGCAGGGATCAGGCTCCTGGTGGGGACAGCTAAAAGACTCTTTTTTTGTCTTTTTTTCCTCCCACACCTTCCCTCCTGGGAACTTTAAACTTTGCTGGGAGCCTCCCATCCCCCATGCTTGGCAGCTCAATATAAGTAGCATGGGGTTTCAAGACCTCAGTAAGGTAAGCCTCCCAAGGTACTCCTCCCCGCAACCCAAAAATGGCCCATAGCCTTGACCCATGGCCAAAAATCATCTGATTGTCAGTGCTGGCCACATGTTAATTTTTTAAGGCATTATACAAATTATAACTTTCAACATTGTATGCAAGAGAAGGATTTGGGGGGTGGTTTGTTTTAGTACCCAATGCAAGAAATTCTTCATTTTTTAAAGCTCGTCTAACTTCACTCCAACCATGAAGTTGGTCCAATAAAAGAGATCATCCCAAAAAGTCCTTGTCTTGCCTAATTCCTGGACCATCAAAGCTACAACATCACTCTTAACACTACTACCAAATTATGTGGAACACTTTTTTTTATGGATCATTTGTAACTGTATGAAGCCTGAAATTGGATGTATGGAAAGCACCCCTGCAAGTCGTACTGTGTATAGTCCATTAACTGTGGCATAAATGTAATGCTCCAATTATTTCAGCTGGAGGGCTGCTTACTGAGTTTTGGTGAGCTGTTAAGAGCCACATGGGTAGCCCTACCCCTTGACAGTTGCCCTGCCTGCAGTTGCCATGTTGGGACAGGGCGTCCTGCCTCCCCCAACACCTGACCTTTGCCACTCTAAGTCCCTACTCTTGCCTCAAAGCACTCCTTTTGGGAGGGAGGGTGTTGTAATCATGAAACCAGAAAAAAACCCAAATCATGTATTGGAAAAAAAAAAATCTACTATAACTTACTTTAATTATATTTAAAAATATTTGTACTGATTTTATGTGTTAGTGGAGTGTACCTAGAGGTGATTGCATAACAGCTCAGAAAACAGTTCTATTGTATATTGTGTGTGGATGGTAAGGAGGGTATATGTGGAGGTGTGGGGTATGTGGCTGGGGTGGGGGCTGTGTGGGATTATGGTGGGTTGGGTAAGAGAGTCACAGAGACGGGGCCAAGCTACTGGCCCTATCGTGTGCCGCTCTTGCAGACTGTGTGAAAACCTCATGGGATGCAGACCACATGCCCAGGTTCTGTGCTCCTACCATCCCACCCTGGGTTCCTGCTGGCCCCAGGGCACCGGCATGGGCTCCGTGCTCCTGCCTGCCACCACCACTGCTGCCATTGCTTGTCAGATGCTACCACCACCACTTCCCCCCCCCCCCCCCCCCCCCCCTCCCCCCCCCCCCCCCCCGCCCCC